ATTACACAGGAGACTGCAACCCAGTAACTGTCAGAGTGGGAGAATCATGTGATTTCCATCCCAAGCAAAAGGTGATGGTCACAGACCCTGAGAAGGTGAGCTCCAAGAGACCAGGAAGGATCAGAAGTGCAGTTCAACTGGTAACTACCACAACCATATATCTATATCAAACCGTGTACCATCTTGGTAATTTTCCTGTGCATTCACCTACAAACAGTTATATTAAAAAATTCTCTACTGCAGTTAGATCACAACATATGTTACTAGTAATTCTAGGTTCATCAGAATAGATGCTCTGAATGTTTTCTTCATACTTTCTATTATCAAGGATTATTATTTGTTACTTGTGTTACCGTAGCACCTAGCAGGATGAGTTGGCCGCAACAACTCATGTTGACATTATCTAACTGTTTCAATATTGTGCTTCACTTAATCACGCATTAATCAACATTTCTTCTTTGACTGGAACATACTCATGTTTAACTTCTTTCATGCAGTAGCATCTCTGTTTTAATCTTGGGCTCTGTGATCCTGCCATGGACTTTTGAATGTTATTAAATCTTTCACAGTCAATGAACACATCATTCTAATACACATTTGATCACAGTTCTTTGATATCAGTATAAGGAATAGATCACCAAGGCCTGGTCCACACTAACCCCCCACTTCGAACTAAGGTACGCAAATTCAGCTACGTTAATAATGTAGCTGAATTCGAAGTACCTTAGTTTGAACTTACCGCGGGTCCAGACGCGGCAGGCAGGCTCCCCCATCCATGCCGCGTACTCCTCTCGCCGAGCTGGAGTACCGGCGTCGACGGCGAGCACTTCCAAGATCGATCCCAGAAGATCGATTGCTTACCGCCGGACCCGGAGGTAAGTGTAGACCTAACCCAAGATAGTATTATAGTTCGCATGGCCTATTTTTCATTTATCTATTTTTTAATTCTATATCAAAATCTAAGCTCTGAGACAAGAGTATAAAGGGAGGAGCTATCCACCCATCCTTCTGTTCCTCTGTACCAAGCTCTTAGATGATAGACTCTGATGCACTGGGGATGGAGAATGGGTCATGTAGTGGACATATGCAATACATCTTGAAGAATAACAGTTACAAGGTGACTGTTTTTTCTTCGAGTGATTTTGCATATGTCCATTACTAGGTGACTCCCAAGAACTTTCCCTTTGAGGTGGGGATAAGAGTCTCGTTGTAAGGAGGACTACAGAACTGCTTTTTTACATTCTCATCTTCCTTTGATGCGGTAGTAATCACATAATATCTAGCAAAGGTGTGGGCCACATTGCTGTTCTGCACACGTTCCACGACAGGGACATTTCCCACAAAACCATAGAGGTTGAATGTGCTTGTGACAGGTATGACAATATCCTGGGCAAACCTTATGGAGTTAAGTTAAACTACTAAAGTAAGTTTAATATCTTTGGAGTTCATTATATTGTAAATGCCAATGTTTGTGCACTATTGTGGGATTTTATAGATGGAAGGATTTTTTTAGGAGGAAGGATTAATGCAATCTCTGGGAGATAATGTGAACTTCAAAAGACTATGCTGAACAATATAGTAGACACAATTAACCTTTTACGACAATGTGTGTGAAGTGGAACTCCTAGGAAGTATGGGGAAGAGGAGATTGCAACCCCTCATCTACAAACTCATCCTTTGAAGCTTTTCCCTGAGGAGGGAGCATTTTGTCTGATGATCCCTTGTTACATGAGGGCAATTCAAAGACCCAATATGGATTCTCCAGGGACCAATAGACTAAAAAAGGACTATTGTATAAATAGCCTGAGTTTAAGATGACTCAGAGCCTTCTTGCTGATCCAGCAAATAGACTGGACTTCTGGTCCACAGAGGGCTCCAATATTAGAGAAGCATTGGAAGGACCTGGGCTATGAGGCCCCATAAGATAGCATTATAGATCTAAGATGAGGCTGTTATGAACTTCTGACCACAAAAGGCCCCATACGGGGTGGGAGTGGGGGCAGGTTTGAAGGACTTGCCTGCCAGAGCCCATGTTGCAGCTAGTTGGGTGGATCTCTGGAAAACTTAATAGCATGCATGTAGATTCTTTTATTGTTGTTTTTTCCATTTCTCGGCTCTATGAACTATCTAAGTTACATCTGTTCTTATCTGTTTTCTCTGTAATGCTTTTAAATATGCTTACACAGGAAGTGCTGTGTGGTAACTTACAACTGTTGGCTATTAGTTTCAGAAGAGAAGGTAAGAGAAGCCTGCTTAGGGAGCCTGTCATTGGTGGGAATAACACAGTGAAGGCAGGGAACTAGTAAAGCCTGGAAATACACCAGTCAGGAGGGAGAGAGAGGTAGGTCTCCATCCAAGAAAGGCAATAGCTAGGAAGCCAGAAACTTGAGAATGAATGTCCTTGCTGTACCACTAAGGGGAAATTCAGGAGCAGTTGGCCTGAACTGTAACAGTGTTCTGGTTGCATACACAGAACTTTTCTGGATGCCCTTGATCTTGTAACACATGACAAAACAACTGGTCCACTTGGACAGGCTTTGCACTGTTACAGGATGCCCCTTCATTTGTTCCATAAAACACCCAAGAAGGCTTTGTTCTTTCCAGATAAAAAGCTAGTACTCCGCAAACATCCAAATTGTGAAGCTTTTATTCATCTTTATGAGACTGTGCTTTTGGAAAGAAGACCAGAAAATATATTGATTGATTGAGGTGGAAATCAGATACTACTTTGGAAAGAAACTTAGGGCTGGTCTACATTGGGGAGGCAGGGGGGATCAATCTAAGATACAACTTCAGCTAAGTGAATAGCGTAGCTGAAGTCGAAGTATCTTAGATCTATTTATCTGGGGTCCACACAGTGCGGGATCGACGGCCGCGGCTCCCCCATCGACTCCGCTACTGCCACTCACTCCGGTGGAGTTCCAGAGTTGACGGGGACCACGTTCGGAGATCGATATATCCCGTCTTTATGAGACACGATATATCAATCCCCGATAAATCGATTGCTACCCGCCGATACGGCGGGTAGTCTGGACGTACCCTTAGGGTGTAGCCTACGCTGTACCTTCCCCTTGTAAAAACTGTGTACGAAGAATCCGTCACCAGAGCATGCTGCTCTCCTACTCTTCTTGCTGAGGTAATGGCTATTAAAAAGGAAACCTTTGCTGAGAGGTGTAACAACCAGCTGGTGGCTTGTGGTTCAAAATGGGGACCCGTAAGGGCTGAGTTCAAATCCCACTGTGGAGCAGGGACAGTCTTTCTAGGCCTTTAAGGAATGTGATGATCATAGGGTTAGAAAATACAGTCCAATCTATAACACAAGGATGAAAACACCAAAATTGCGGCCAGGTGCACATTGATATAGCTGAATGCCAAACTTGACTGTTGAATGTAACAAAATAATCCAATATCTTTTGAATTATAGATTGCATAGGAGACGCATTGTGGGGAGCCATCCAGATAGAGGACCACTTCTACTTCCGCCGACTTAATGCGCTTAGTGTGGACATACGCAACTGACTGTATAAAATCGATTTCTAAACATCGATGTCTATAAAATCGACCTAATTTCATAGTGTAGACATACCCTTAGATGCATCTAAAGTCCTACCTCTTTTGGAGCAACAAAAGCTCAAACTATTAATCAAAGTCTCTCAACAAATCTACCTCTGTCTGGTCTCTGTCTTCAATCTCCTTCCACTACTCTGGAGTCTTCTCCTCCAACTCTGAGGCTGAGTACTGGCTCCTCAGAATGAGTCTCTCTGAAGGCTCTGCTCTTTTGCAGATTCTGGCTCAGGCTCCTTCACCGGAGTCCCTTTGGGGTCTCCTCTTCAGACTGAACCTTCTCCCCTTTTATGAGCACCAGGTATCTGTTTAGTTATCACCTGATGCCACCCAGTCCTACCCATCTGGTTGAGAAACAAGTAATTAGGTACATATGACACCCGTCATAATTAATTAGCTATTAAACCCTTTCCAGCCTGTCATTGGGTTACAGTGGACAATTGGTAAAGAAAAAGAAAAAAAGGACAAAAGAAAGAGCTCAAAGACCTGAAAATTATTACCACTAAATAACTGAAAACAAGAAACTAACGAAAAATGGTTTGTTCGCTGAAGGAACAAACAGACAACATGCTTCGACCACCAGTCATGGACAGTAAGAAGAAACTGAAGGATGGGCGGGGAGGCTCCATACTTTATATCCTCGGCTCAGAGCACGAGAATACCAGGTAGAGGTGTGGCCCCCATTACGGGTACTACTAAAGAAAACTCTCCAGCACCGGTGCATGAGATGTGCACAACCTAGTCTAATGGACATACGCAATCACTCAAAGAAGAACAACCAGATTCAGGGGTGGCAACGGAACTGGATTCATGTTATATCAAATGTTCTTCCAGTTAAATTTTGCACGTCAGTGGTTTCAGCTGAACAAAATCATATTACAGCAATGAAAAATTTTAAGGATACAACAAAACACATTTTTCATTAACTTTGCCAGAGCCGATATTTTCTATGGTCCCTATTCAGCAAGGTACTTAAGCAATTGATTTTACGCATGTGAACAGTCCCATTGAAATCATTCACAGGCGTTGTAGCAGTTTGAAGTCAATGGAACTATTAACATGCTTAAGGTTAGGCACCTGCTTATATCTGTTACAGCCTGTAATATAGCAAGATAGTATCTTTTTTAGGGAATACAGTAATATAGAGTAACAACAATGGAAATTTCAGCTTCAGCAGCTCTCCAATCAATGTATATGCATGGAACAAACATACAGATAAATTTGTTTGATAGAGTTTTGTCATTTTATATTTTTGTACACTTGTATACTTTTGTTGCTACTGTTGTAAATTTGTAAGGAATTTTTTTTGCTTGTAGATTATCCAATTCAGCAATCCTATTTAAATTCATCCACATGAAACCCAATAATCATAGATGTTGAAGATGAGAAATTAACTAAAACATTTACAGTTACCACCTTCTATGATATGTGCTTACCTTCCTCTTTCTTTTCTTTTGATTTTGTAGAATTTTCTTCTCTCTTTTGCTTTGCTTCTAGTAGTTCACGTTTCAGCTGGCGTACTTCTTTGCGTAGTTCCTCACTGCAAAGAGAACAATATTTACATGAGTCTAATCTTCTAAGAATGTAAAGCCACTCAGGAGAAACAGAGTCAAAGTTAATGGGCAGTAAATCTCTGATGTAAACAAATGGAATGTATTGCCTCACTCTTGTTAAGTTTGGTATGAAGAACTTGGCTTAAAAATCAATTGGAACCTTAAAAAAAGCTCTTCTTTACATTAGCAAAGACAACAAAAGAGTATGATAAATGGTTTCTTTTAAGAGCCCATTAGAAATATGTCAAACGCACAAGACAACCAGAACAGGGACCCTACATTTATATTTTGATTCATTAATTTAACATTGTATCATCCATAATACTTAACTACAAGAACCACACTTAAAGGAAATAAAAAGCAGAGGGATCTAAAAACAAACATAACATTGTCTTGTGAAATTCAATTTACTGAAGTGATAATTCTTCCAATCTAAGATTTCAAATATGGACAGTAAATGGAGTTGACGAATCTGCATAAATATGATCCAATACAAAGTAAGAATTTTTAAAATTATATTTTGAGTGTTATGAACTTTACAAAACAATGAACATCTGAAAAAGGCAGAATGGAGAAAACCAAAAGGGTGAGACAGATGTTATATTAACACTGAGTGATTTGTCTGTTTTGTTAGTTTATAATATGTTTTAAACATTTTCTGCTGAACTTCCGTATTATGATCAGAATGATACTTGTTTGCTTTCAATTACTTTTTCTAGGGGGATTGTTTCTTTGGTTCTTCAAGTATTAATAAAATTATGTAGATGAATTATTGACTGTCCAAAGCTATCCCCCAAAAGTGTTTGTTCAATTCTTGCAAAAGACGATCATACTGTATGAAGGGATAATTCATTGAGTTCCAAAATGAAGTCTGGTTAGTGATAGAAAAAGTGTGAAAGCCATGATTACTGGTCACTATTTCAAGCTTTTTTGGTATTCTAATTTATATATTCTCGGTTTTGCTTTTCAATTTGTAACTGAGTTAGTGCTCATGAAAGTGACTGAATAGGAACATTGGCTAGAGCTGAGCATAATGTAGGAATGTGCTGTGCAAGCTTCCCCCCACAGTTCTGTCAGTGCACTTTAATTCTGATCTGTAATACCCTTGTTATTCCAGTCCTGGGCCTCTCGAGTCAAACTTGGAATTATGTGCTTATTAATTCTTTTGATTTTTGTTTTTAATCGTGTGTGAATGGGATGCTTGTGAAAAGTAGCAGAATAACTAGAATATGAAATCACTGATTTATTTACAAAAAATGGTCAGGAATAGTGCAAACTCTGCCCTATTGTCTGAAGGGACCACTTAGGCTTAGAGGACAGTCTTAACTCTATGCTTATTCAATCCTTCACATCTGTAAGATACTTTTGTTGTTTCACTTTGCTAACAGGTGCAGGAACACTTCAGGGTAGCTGCAGGTTAATTCTTGCTGACTCACTTAGGCTTTTAATGTTTACTCTGAATATAAAGGAGATTGACATATTCCCTAGAGAGAAAGCTTAGATCTCAGATGCACAGACCAAAGAAGTACCCCTAAGTCAGCTAAAACTGGGCCATCTTTAACAACACCAGCAACCACTTCCTCCCCGGGGGCAGCTTCACCCGATTTGCCGACTGGAGGTTTATCAACAGGGGCCGGCTCAATTGCGTCCCACTGAACAGAACCGTCCGCAACAGGAATTGGGACAAGCGATGCAGGAAGTACGGCTACACCAATGAGATGTTACCCCACGTCCTGCGTAGCTGCAAGCCCCATTGGAGAGCTTGGTAGCTGCGACACAACGCCATCCAAGATTACCTGGCCAGAGCCATCCCGCCACCTGTGGGGAAGGTTGCCGTAAATTCTGCCATCCCCGGAACCAACAGCCAACTGCGGCCGGTCAGCGTCATCACCAACAAGGACTGGAAGATGATCATCATGATGGACGTCACGGTGCCCTTTGAGAACAGGACCCCGGCCTTCTATGATGCCCAAGCTCGAAAAGTAGAGAAATATGCCCCTCTGGCCAAAACCTTGAGAGCTAAGAGTTACCAGATCCAGACACAGGTACTGATCATCGGAGCCTTAGGTGCATGGGACCCCAGTAACTAGCGAGTGCTGATAGAATGTGGAAACAGCCAACGCTACACTCAGCTGATGCAGCAACTCATCGTGCCAGATGCAATCAGATGGTCAAGGGACAGCTACCTAGAACACATCACCGACATCGGCAATACCAGGAGGGATGAGCTGGAGTGCCGATGAGAAGTGCAGTCAGGAAAGTAACAAATACTTTCCCTCATGGATTGTATTTTCTAAATAGACAACCAATCTCATTCTCAATTACTGAGAGATAATCTCCACTCATTGATATATTTTGCTTTCCACAACCAAATCCCTGTACAACTTTTTATGAGTGATGTACCCGAGTATTCTGTATGGTTAAATCTATTCACCTAAAATTGGGTTATTGCTGATTATGTATCCTATGTATCCTATGACTTTTAAAAACTAACTTTATATTTGTGGATAATCTAAGCACTATACCCAGATGTACAGACACTGTTTTCCCAACCTATGTATTATATATATTTTTTTACATTAGCTTTAATAAAATGTTTAAATTTGTGCTCTCGACACTGTTTACTGGAAGTTGGACAGAGACCAACATATTTCACATAGATCATCAAGTAGCCAACTGGTAAGAATTTGCCTGACAACTGACTGGGGCTACATTTTAATCAGCTTCTAGAGGTGAAGAGTAGGTTTGTGATGTGCAAAAACATGAATTAGGATGAACCTAAACAACTTAGTTTTCCACTTATAACCTGTGATAATGAAGGGGGGGCGGGGTAGCTCCCTTTTAGGGACCCAGCCAGCAAGTTATCTATAAAATCCCTCTTAGTAGCTGTTCTCTAATTGCTCTACCTGTAAAGGGTTAAAAAAAGTGAGTGGGCACCTGGCCAAAAGAGCCAATGGGAAGGCTAAAACTTTTTAAAATTGAAACAAGACTCCCCTTTTGATGTCTGTTGTTCTCCAGAGAGAGAGAACAGAGCAGCGATGCTGTAAGAAGCTTGGGGCTAGGTATGAAAAATCATCAGATCATATCTAGAAACTACTCATTTGAAACCCCAGATGTATAAGTAGATCAGGAAATGTCTAGGAAGACGTGATTAGATTTATTTCTTTATTTCTTTATGGCAGGTGGACTCCTCTGTGCTAACCCCAAATGCTTTTGTTTTGCTTGTAACCTTTAAGATGGACCTCAAGAATGTTATTCTTGATGCTTAATCCTTGTTTGTTTTTTTAAATCTAGCAATAGCCTATGTTTCCAGATGTATTTTCTTTCTTTTTGTTTTTAATAAAAATTACCTTTTTAAGAACAAGATTGGATTTTTGTGTCCTAAGAGGTTTGTGCACGTGTTGTTTAATTAGCTGGTGGCAACAGCCGATTTCCTTTGTTTTTCTTTCTCAGCTCTTTCCCGGGGATATGCATGCATGCATGTATGTGTGTGTGTGTATGTGTGTGTCAGAGAGAGAGAGAGAGAGAGAGAGAGAGAGAGAGAGGCGTCTACGACCGACC